CAACCAGATAAACAAAGCAACGAGGAGGGGCATGTTGTTAGATGGAGTGTGTAACGAACAGAATACTCCCTGCCACATTACAGACAATGGTAATGCACAATCATTCATTATAACTCAATTACAGTAATTAAAACTGGTGGGATGCAGAGGCAGAACAGACGAAGGGAGTAGTGCCAACAGAATTTACACTCCGTGTCATCAGCTAGCGATAACAACAGCTGATGGTGTCCCAGAGCCTCCTCCCGCCATCTGTTCCGAGAGCCGGCGACAAGGGATGGCATGAGGTGCTGCCGCAACCGAGCGGGTGGTGGGTGGAAAGGGGGTGGGAAAGGGCTCTCGGCCCCCCCCAGCACGGCACCCGGCACAGCACCCGGCACGGCCGCTGCCGTGGGTGCCGTGCTGCGGGGAGGTGCTGCCCCTTGCACCCCAAAGGGTGAGCCGCCCCGCTGAACCGGGCACAGAGCCCAGGAAAAGGAAGGGGGACAGGGGCACCCCGTTATCCCTGCTCCCCGTGGTGCAACCTGCATGGCCGCCTGCCTGGGGAGCACGGCCTGCAGCCGTCTGCTCCGCTCCTGGGGTAGCACGGCACGGCACGGCTCTGCTACGCCTGCAGCACTGCCTGGTGCTGCCATTTAGGGATGCGACCCAGCATGGGAAAAGCTGCTTGGCCAGGTTAGCGCCTCAGGGCAGGCGTTCCTGGGGGTCACCGTCCCCCTTCTCTGCCTGCTCGGGGTGGGGGACACACGTGCACCCCCCGGCTGTGCAGGAGCCCCAGAGCGGCTCTGCCGAAGCCCTCGCTGCACGGGGCGCCTCAGGGTGACTGCCACAGCAGCGGCGTGAGCAGCCACCCTGCACCTCGGTCAGTTGGGTTAGTTAGCTATTTCACAGCAAGCTAACAACCCCTGCCTCCGCGCCAGGACCTACCCGCTGTAATTCGATAATTATGGGTTACTCAAAGCGCAGTTTGGGCTGACTGCCGCCCTGGAGAGCCAGGCTGGGAAGGGGGAGCGGTGCCCAGCCCCGGGCGGCTGCCAGAGCGGTGACCTGCACCCAACCGCCGCACCCTCCCGGTGCAACCTCTGTCCTCACCTGCAAGGGCTCCAGGATCGGCGCTGCTGCGGGAAACCAGCCGGGAGCAATGTCGGGGTGCACCCGAAAGGGCGATGGCTATAGGGCACACCCAAGGGGGTGACGACTCCGTTTTGATGCTCAGCAGCCGCCAGGATCAAATACTTTGCATGCCTCCTTCATGGGAGCCCTTCCTTGCAGGAGTGTGATGCTGCAGCGCTCACAGAAGGAAATCGCTGATGAAAAGTGGGTAATTCCACCCAAAAGGTGCTGTTTGCTGGGTACGCCGGGGCCCCCGCCCGCCTGTGGCGGGCACGCGGGCATCGGGGCACGCGGGATGGGCAAGCGTCGGCGCCGGTGCTTCTTGGTGCCCCACTGCAACGCCCACCCGATTTGGCAGCCGGTGTGCGAGGTCTCTGCCTTCACGCCCTGGTGTGTCACAGCAGCAGCCAAGGTTCAACTAAAAGCATGTTAAAAAAAAGCCCTTATGAATATATAATAAAAAAAAACCTTAGTGCGCGGGGCTTGGAATACTTTAATTATAAAGGACGGGTGTTCGGCGCCTGGCTGATAGCATAAATGGGAATCGGAGAGACCACGCACCGCTTTAACACCTCCTCCGTCAGCACTTTCGGAAAGGTTGTAGTCAAACCAAATTAATTGCAAAGGGCAACAGTTTGCTGGGAACTGTTGAAAGCAGAAGCTGCAGCGGCTCGGGTGCCCGAAGGGGCAGCACCGGGGGCTGCCGGAGGGGGATGCCAGGCCCCACCGAACCCTTCCGTTCCCCTGCACCGGGCTCTCCGAAATCTTACAACAAAGGATTTCTTGCCATTTTTATCTTTTAATGGTCCCCTGTGTAAGTCCCTCATTCCATCCAGCTTAAAATCAGATTTAAATGCACTCATAACCATTTACCGCTGTACATTATCGGGAAACCAAGCAGTTAGAGTGCTGCTCCTGCTTTTTATTTCTCTCTCGCAGCAGGCTCTGTCATGTTCAATACATCACGGGGAAGCCCCCGCAGGACGGTTCGTATGTCCTAGTTCAAGGAAAGCGCTTTGTCTCTGTCAGGGGCGCCCAGGCCCAGTGCAGGAATGTGGGTGCCGGCGTCCCGTGGTTTTGGAGCCGCCCGACGCCATCCCTGAGCCACGGCGAGCATCCCGCCCGCGGCCATGGGCACCCCGCGGGCTGGCACCCTGCCTCGGCATCCCCCTGGGGGTGCAGGGTCCCCTGCTCCCAGCCTTCGCTGCATCCCGAAGTCCTCGCTGCAGGCTTGCAGCAGCAGAAACAAAGGAGCTGGGCGATGCCTTTGGGAAGAAAAAAGAAACGATGAGGTCTGGGGATAGGGTCTGGGGTGGCCGTGGGCTCGCTCGCCCCGAGGGGACAGCCAAGGAGGAAGGAGCATGTCCCTCGGTCCCTCGGCAGCGCATCGCCACCCCCGCGGCAGCAGCCACCAGCACTGTGGGAAGGGGAGAAGCCAAGGGCTGGGGGCTGCTGCTCCATCAGTCCCGCACTCGGATCTTCCTCCAGCCGACCTCCGCCGGCATTCCCATCAGTATGGGAATTCCCATTCCCGGCCCCGCCACGCAGGAACAACGGCCCCTCGCTTTCTTTGCTTGCTTTTATTAACAACTCAGTGCAGGTTTTCAGAGATCAAATGGTTTATAGACACTTTGCTTTCATTTGAGCTTCATTACATTTACTTTTTATTCTTTTTTTCCTTTTTTTTTTTGTTCTTTTTTTCTCCCTTTTTTACAAAAAACAGTTGTAGTTATTAACAGCTGTACATATTCTGCTACATACTTTGGTGTAAAGTTGAGAAGTCTGACTTAGTAACCCTCCGCCAGCTCCGGTACATGCAGTTCCTTTATTTTTTTTTTCTTTTTCTTGGAGGAAAACGAAGCACCGACTCATAAACCAGTGACCACGCAGGACGCACGCTGGCGGTGGCCTTACCACGGGGGGAAAGTTGGCCACGAGGGCAGTTCAAAGCCCCCCATCCCTTTCAAAAAAAAACCCACCCCATCAATGCAAAGGGGGGGGATGCTCCACGCGCCGCGGGGTCGGACGCTGCGCCCAGGTCTGGGGGCGCAGGGGACCGGTGGAGCTGCCCCCGTGCCGGCCACGGGGACCAAACACGAACCCCAAAACACAGACAGGGCCTCGCTGAACCCCTCGCCAGGCACCAGCACGGGTCCGTCGGCACCAGGGGCATTCTCGGAGTCATTTTTCTGAGCCAAACCGCCCTTAGAACCACTTTCCCTCAATAGCGAGCTTGCTTTTTCCTTCCTCGGGTAATCAGTGCGCAAGATCGATCCCATCTCCTCCCTGGCTGAGGCAGCACACAGTAAGCACTAACGAGCAACTGCTTGCCTGGGACATTCCCCTTATTTTTTCTTTTGAACAGAAAAGGGCAAAAATCTCAAAACCCTCTTATTTTGACAGGGGAAAAAACGTTTCCCGTGAAATCTCCTTCCAAGCCCATCTGGCCTCTCCCCGCCCCAGAGCGGCTGCTCGGAGGGATGCGATGCCGACCACGCGCCCCAGGACAGCCGGGTACCGATCGCCTCCCCTTCAGCCTCCTCTCCCCTGTCTGTACAATCCACGTATGTAAACCAGGCAGTTCTCACCTGAACCCTAAGCATTATTTTTTTGACCAGATTAAAATCAAAAATTAAAAAATAATCCATAAAAATGTAGTATAAAAATTCTCTTCCATATGCTACAATACAGGGTGAGCGCTTCTGCTACACAAATACTTTTATTTCCCGTTATGTCCTTTTTTTTTTTTTTAACCCTTTAGTACAAAACGCTGAAACGCAGGCCTGTGCGGGGAGGGGGTTTGCTTCATCGGAACCTATATACCAGAAGACACAAGACCATATAGCCCACAGGACCCTACCAAAGCCAGCCCCTTCCCCCCACCACACACAAACCCTACTTGTTAGTAAACTTTGCTTTTAAAAAAACTGTATTTTAAAGGTTATCAATTCTAATTCTTTACTTTCATTTGAATACAAAACACATAAGTTGCTATTATCTTTCATGGCTCCCTGAGCTGAATTTACTATGCTTTCTTTGAAATCACTCCTCATTGCTTCTGTCCGAAGACCAAGAAGGGCTTGCGCAGACAATCCCGCAGCGTGGGCTTCCCCTTTTCTTCAAACATACGAGCACAAAAAAATCCATATATAAAAAAAGGTGATTGTGTTGCTGATGTCCCATCAGTAGCTGAGGATCCGACCGAGTCCCCCGCGGTCCCAGCAGTGTCCCACCATCACTAACACACCGAACAACGCACGGGTACGACAGTAGGAACAACTTTCACCAGTGGACATCTTTGCTCAGCCTGGTTACGCGCTGCACGGCAAAGTCACGTCCCGACGGACGCCTCGGGGGGGTAAGGAAAAAAAAAAAATAATAAAATTGCCACCACCAAAACCATCAGTGGAATACAATTACAGCAGACGAAAAATACACAACTAGTGTACCGGGAGGGGTCCCCCACCCTTCCAATGCTATTTACTAGTCCGTTATTTACATTTTTCACAAGTCTTATGCAGGATGCACAAAAAAAAGTCACGATAAAAAATAAGTCCTTTATAGTGCCACCAAAGCGCAGACGGAAAGAACCAGAAAACCAAAAAAAAAAAAAAAAATTTTTTTTCAAAATAAAACCCAAAACCCTAAAACCAAACAAAAATCCGTTTAGGGCTTCAATGTGTGCCATATTTGCAGACCTCCAAATAAATCCGTGTGTATTGTACGCCGGGCCCTCGAGGCAGAGCCCCGCCGGAGTGTGCCGGTCCGTGGCTGAGCCCCGGGGGCCACCCCGCGGCAGCCCCCCCGAGCCCCCGGCCGCTCCCCGCCGGCCGCCCGAGTCCTGCCACCGCCGGCGCTGGGAGCTGCCAGCCCTGCTATCAAATCCGTGGTTAGTAGATGACCTCGTAGACTGTGGCCTTCTTGTCACCAGAGCCCGTGACGATGTACTTGTCATCCGCTGAAATGTCACAACTTAAGACGGACGAGGATTCCTTGGACTGGAAAAAAGAGGGGGGAGGGGGGAAAAACCATCAGTTTGGTTTCCAGACGAGGCTGCCGCAGCTGCGTCTCACTGAGCAACATCCATGCCGGTGGCCTCACCGCATCCCGCACGCCGGGTACTGAATCCGGCCACCCCAAAAGGCTTTGCCCCCTCCCCAGGGCTGGCAGCCCCCCAGGACGATGCTGAGAGGGGGGTCCAGGCGCTGCCCACCCCCGTGCCCTGCCCGAGAGGCAGCCTCCTACCTGGAAGATGCTCGCTCCGTAGGGCGTCCTCCAGGCGTTGAGCAGGTTGTCTTTTCCAGTACTCACAAACCATTTACCTGCGCCCGGGGAACATGGCGTCAGCGGCCGAAAGCTGCCATCCTGACCCCCTGCCCCATGGCCGGCAGCACCGAAGCTGCCGGCCGGACCCCATGGCCGGCTTCTCCCTGCCCCTGGAGGCTTCTGGCTGTTTACCCTCAAAAATTAGAGATTTTGGAGAAACTGGAAAATCTGGAGGTTTTCCAGAGATGCTTGCCCCAGCCCCTCTCCTGCCAGAACACATCCCAGCACTGCCCCACGCTCGCACACGGGCAGGCGCTGGTTCACCTCCCGCGATGCGACGTGGTGACTTGCAACCACGACCGCGATCGTTTTACGGGGATAATCCCCAATGGCACCATCCGTGGGACAGATCCTGCTGGAAGCCTCTGTGCTCAGCCCCCCGCCACCGTGCCGCGCATCGTCCCATCCTGCCGCGGTCCTCGCGCGCATCCCCAGCCATCACCAAGGGAGTTGAATTTAGAGCCGGAGCCACTTACCGCAGTAGGCAAACTTGAGGGAGAGGACGCAGCTCTCGTGGAGGTGCAGCTGGTACTTGTCGGGTTTCGTGTGGTGCAGCACTTCCACATTGCTGCTCTCCATGCCCACCGCCAGCCACTCGCCCGTCGGGCAGTACCCCAGCGAGAAGATCTGCAGGGGGACAGGAGGTGCTCAGGGGGGCTTTGCACCCACCTGCCCGAGCAGGCACCAGCCACCTCTGCATCCCCGACAATTCCCCAATGGGGAGAGACTCGGATCGCCCGGGCATGAGCCGAGCTGAGGGTGATCCCGTTGGCGATTTTAATAATGTGATGGCTTTGCCCGCAGCACTGGCGGTGAGGCCAGCAATTCAGAAGAAAAACAGCCTGACAGAAGGGGAGGAACACAGCCCGGTCCTCTTAAATCACCGTGTCCCCAGCCGCTGAAACGCAGGCACAGCAAAGCCAGGAGCCAGCGGACGGCATCTGCCCCTGCAGCACAGCCCCGGATCCTGCCCTGGCTGAGGTACCCCAGCTGAAATGCAGCCTCTTCAAGGGACAGCACTTCTGTCTTGGGACAGAAAACACCTTCCTGGCATCCTTCAGAAGAGGAAAACTTGGCATGGAAGGCAGCAAGACTAAAAAAAAAAACCTCTAAGCCATGGCTACTTGTAGGCTGGAAACCACAACGGCGCGGCTTCTGGATGCCCAGCTCCGCAATACCCAGCGTTACGCAGTGCAAGGTCCCTGCTGCCAGTGCTGTGGGGTCAGCAGCTGGGACGCAGCAGAGACCTCGGCCACGCTGCTGCCTTTCTGGACCCTGATCACGCAACTCCAGTTTCACCAGCCGCACGGCACGGGCGGAGGTCGCTGGGCAGCCCTGAAGAGGCGCAGCAGGATTCGGAGAGGCACGTGCACGTGTCTGGGGCAGCTGCACGAGACCTGCGAATGCTGGGGTGGCTCCAGCCCCACGGAGACGGCTGCACTTGCCAAGAGGACACAAGATCCCAGCTTTGCCCCTTTGGACAAGGGCTCTGAGAGGGTCTGCAGGAGGTGGCAGGTACCCGAGCCCTGCACCCATCCCACCTGCGGGATACCCAGAGCCAGCCTGCAACACCCGTGTGCATCCCTAGGCAAGCGCTGCTTTCTTAATGGCAGCCTAGTCTTGCAGTAGATGAAAAAGCCATGAAAGAGAAGCTGAAACGAGAGCCAGGGGAGCCCCGCAGCTCTGCCTGCCTTCAACACCCTTCGGTCACACCTAAAGCAGCGGGGACAGCCCTGCACAGAGCCAACCTCCCACGGCCACGCACGAGCCAGCTGCCGAGAGGGCTGCCCTGGTTTCCACGGAGGGATAAACCCCTGCATGGGGTCTCCACGAGGAGCTGCACAACGAGGCCAGGACGTGCCCCCCTCCCGGGGCCGAGGGCAGCCCGTGCTCACCTGGGAGGTGAAGTCGTGCTGCTGGAGCTGCCTCCCTTCCCGCAGGTCCCAGGAGCGCACTGTGTTGTCCAGACCTCCCGTCCACAACTTCGTACCATCGTGCGAGATATCTATGCAGCTGGCACCGTCTGTGTGGCCTTGGAATTGCCTTTAAACAACGAAAAATAATGCAAAACTTTAAGGGGAACACTAGCAAAAAGCACTTAGGTTGCTTCGAGGGAGCTGGTGCTCAGGCTGTATTTATGAGGCTTCCCTGCACCAAGCACACCTGGAAATCTATCCAGGGAGCATCCTTTGCCAAGGTGCACCAGCCCAGCCGAGCCTGCTGGGCTCACTTACAGACAAAGCATCACAAAATAGCATTCTTGTTGCCATCCCTGAGGTCCTCACACCAAAACATGGCCAGAAAGACCCCGATTACGGAGAAAAGCAAGCCCCGGTGCTCCCAGCCCTCCTGCCACGGCCGGGTGCCAAGGCTGGCTCACCTGACGAGCGTCTGGTTGTGCAGGTCCCAAACGGCGATGTTGCCGTCGCTGCAGCAGGAGAAGCAGACTTTGGCGTCGGGGCTGATGGCCAGGGCGTAGCAGGCGGGGGCGGAGGAGGTCAGCTCGGCCTTGATGCGGGGCGTGGGGGAAGCCAGGTCCCAGATGGTGAGCGTGCTCGCCTCCCCTCCCACGATCAGCGTGCGGCCGTCGGGGAGGAGCTTGCAGGAGCGGATGTAGTTATCTCGGTTCTGGAGGGGAAAAGAGATGTTAGCAGGAGGGCGATGAATGATTCACTGCATTAGAGGTGGGGGAAAGCAGGGGGGACACACGCTTGGGGACCGGGAGCAATCTGCTGCGGCTTGCTCGCTCGCACACGCATCGGGGATGCTCCAGCTCCCGCGCGCGGCAGCACTGCCGAGCCCCCTTACCAGGCAGTCCAGCTGGGAGATGGGGCTCTTGCTGCCCGGCTGGCTGATGTCCCAGATCTTCACGCACCCCTTGCCCCCGGTGTAGACGTGCCTGGTGGGGTTGCTGATGGTGACGGCGCACACCACCTCCCCGTGGCTCAGCGTGTTGATCTGCCGGGCGTGCCGCGGGATGCCAGGACCTGCCAGGGCGTCGTGAGGAAAGGGGACCGGCTGCATCTGCCCGTCGGCGCTCACGTGGAAGGAGTAGGCTCTGCCGAGGGAGGGCAAACAGAGGGATCAGCCCCAGAGACAGAGGTTTGCTGCAAACCCGGAGTAAGGGGTGGCCGGGCGGCATTGCAACCCGGCTGCCGGGTCGTGCTTTGCTGGGGGCCGGAGGCCACCGCTGCTCTGCGGGGGCTCGGTGGGACCCAGACCGAGGTGAAGCCCCGCACTCATCCCCACCCAGCGCACAAAAGGACGAAGAGGGGCTTACGGCTTCCCGCCGGGGATGGATGCCAGGCTCGAGGGCAGGCCGGGGGCCCGCATGGGCGGGTGCGGGTCGAAGCCAACCTGCCAAGAGATGCACACGGGGTAAGGCCAGGCAGGAGCTGGGCACGTGAGCAAACAGCTTCCCTGCCCGGGCTCGCGGACGGCATGGGAACACGGTAGCTCCCTCTTTTCCCTTGCTGCTCAATAGCTAATCGTTATTTTTTCCCTGGCAGAAAGTGGAAGGACTGGGGAATTAGGCACAGGTTTCTGGTCTGGAAGGACCAGCGTGGGACATGCTCACCCTCCCTGTGCTGTTCCCAAGCCCCCAGGGACAGGAACAGCCAAGCTGTGCCTAGCACCCCAGCTGCAGGAACCCCCATCTCTGCATTAATGGCAGTGTTTTCCTTCTTGTTTTGCCTGTGTTTTGCCTTAAAGCGAACGACTCAGTGTTTAGTAAGGGGAAGGGGGCTGCACAGCGGGTACTTCCCACGCATGGGGGGAAGGATAAACCCCAATGTAGTGGCACATGCACATCACCCCATGGGGAGGCATCTCCACACCCAGCGCCCTTTCATGGTGGCTGATTCAAAACACGGCTGGTGAGGAGCCCCGGTGTCACAGCCGAGACAGGGAAGCCCCCTCCCTGCACCTCCCCGGACCCTCCCCACACCCACCCCCCCGCCGGGAGCGAGAAAAGGAGCTAAAAGTGCTACGTACAGTCATCTGCGGGGGGATGTTGTGGAGCCCCGCGTAGGCGCCGGGGCTGGTGAGCGAGCCGTTCATCTCATGGTGCCCCATCATGGCGAAGGGAGCCGCGTAAGAGCCGGCGATGGAGATGGGTGTCCGCAGGGCCGAAGCTGCAGGAGGGTTGGGGACATGGTCAGGGGACAGAGCCCGCCAGCATCCAGCCCCACTCGCCCCCGAGGAAGAAATGCAATGGCGGGACCTCCCTCCTCACCCCGTCTCTGGCACGGGGACCCCCTGAGCTGCTGGCATCCCTGTCCTGAGCTGAATTAGGTCCCCAAGAAGCCTGACCCCCCCCCAAGCTGCTGTGCCCCGAACAGAGGGCACGGGCTGAAGCCATGCTGGGGACAGCAGCAAGAGGGGGCAATGGGGGACCGCAGGGCACCCAGGGGACCGGTACCCACCCAGGGGGTCCATGCCGGTCGGCTTGCCGGGCATCGGCCGCAGCCCCGGGGTGCTGCTCGTCCCCGGGGTCGGAGCGTCATTCCTCGGCGTCGGAGTGTTTGACTTGAGCCCGGGCGTTGACGATTTGTCATTCTGGATGAAGAAGGGATGGAAAAAAAGAAAGGATGAGGTTCATCCATCGGTGTCCGCACCCCCTGCTCGTCAAGCCCCCAGGACCCAGCGAGCACCCGCAGCTGGCGGGGCCCGATCCCCCCGGCAGAACGAAGGACATACGTGGCCCAGGTCTTTAGTCTTGGAGGAGGGAGTGCTGCTGGAGGAGGCGACCGAGGCCGGGCTGTTTGGCGCGTCCCCCTTCTTCAGCCCGCGGGCTTTGTCTATGCCGTTCTCCGGGGGGGAGTGGGCTGGGCTGACCCGGGGGGTGGCAGGGTCTTGCGAGACAGCAGAAAGCATTGGTACCCCCAGCAGCGGGGAGGGCTCCCTCCGGCTCCTCTTTCAGGGAGGAATTGGGCTGGTGCCAGGGGGCCCCTAGGGCATCGCCCCCGACCCCCAACCCCCCCACCGTGCCGCAGGGAGAGGAGCAGACCTGCCGAAATGCCCCCACGGCTCACCTCGTTGGAGACGTCGACCACCAGATCATCGCTTTTGTCACCATCGCTGTCCTGAAACACAAAGTGAGTTACATCCCGCAGAGAGCTGCCAAACCCCAGGGTGGGGGGCAGCCCCCCAGGGAGCCGAACCCCCCCAGCAGCAGGACACAGCTCACCCACACCACGTTTAGAGAGTTTTACCCAAACCCCGCTTTCTCCCACCCAAAGTCCTGCCTGGACGCGTGCCGCCGCCCCACACCTCACACCACCACGTCCCCCGGCAGCTCTCATCCTGCCCTGGCCGCCGGACCCAGCCGCCGACCGTCCCTGCCACTCACATATCGGCTCATGCTGTCCTTCTCCTCTGCTTTCCGCTTCTTGGAGTCGATGCTGTAGTCTGTGGAGCTCCGGTGCTTCTCGCTGGCTCTCAGGCTTTCCGAGGGCGAAACGGAATTATTCTGCAATAACAGACGAAACTTTTAAGTTGGAAACAGAAGGAAATGGCACTTCATGAGCAGCAGCTTAGAAGGTGTCGCAAGCAGCCCTTCAACCAGCACCGAGCCCAAAATCCAGCCTTGCCCTAGACTGTGAAACCCCAGCGGTGGGGTGAGACCCCATGGCCCCACCACACAGGGAGCCGGGGACAGGGTCCAGCCGGGGCTGGGGGATGGCCACCAGTGCACGGAGCATCGCTTCGAGCTCTGGGGATGCTGCTTCATTCCAGCAAGGCTGCTCCTGGGCACCCGAGCCTATTTACTGCAAAAGCACAGCAGAAACAAGGGAGGAGCTGGTTGGTGTTTGGAAAGGCAAACCCTGGGAGGAAGCGGTGTGCAGTTACGGCAGCTCCCAGCAGCCGCTGGGATCCACTGGCAGGCACTGGGCAATGCAGAGAGGGGGGAAAGCTGAGCTCCCCTGAACCAGCCCCATCACCATCCTCTGCCCGCAAGGGAGCACCAGCCCCATCTCCATCATCCTCTGTCCCCCACGGGGAGCACCAGAGCTTTGCCCCAGCCCTGGGCTGGCACCCACGAGAGCCCGCGGGTGCTTCCTCCAGCATCAGCAGAGCCGGGGCCTCATCCCCAGCGTTCATTAGGGGAGCAAAGGAACCGCTTCACCCCAGCCCCGGCTAAGCCGAGCCAGCAGCCCAGCTCTGCCGAGCCAAAGGGCATCCAAAAAAATGTCTGGAAAAATCCCCGTCACCAGGAGCGGCGGAGCCCAGCGCCCCGCGGCGCAGCCCTGCTCGGGGGGGCTGGCTGTGCCCGCTTCAAGCGGCAAAGCCCAGGAGATGCCAGCATTCCCAGGAAAGTCCTGCGCACGCCGGGATTGGGTCGGGAACAAAAATGGCAGCACAAAACCGCCTCGAGAGCAACGGAGAAAGCCCGGCCCCATGCAGATGCCCTTCAATTAGTTTCTGGGAGCAGCAAGAGAAATTGCCATCATTTTGTGTCTTGTAGCAGAGCCTGTCACCCCTGCTAAGCAGAAATGTTCCTAAGCTCCTCTGCCTGCCTTTCTTTCCCAGCTGAAAGGGAGAACTAAAGCAGTTCATGTTTCTCCTCGGTACCCAATAAGCAGCTTTGGATAACACCGGGGTCTTTCTTCTCAGGCAGTCATGCTGAAAAACCTCGCAGCTACCAGAGAATCATGTCAAGCATTTAGAGGCATCGATCCATTCAGCCTGCTGCTGGCCCGCCGCCAAGAAACTAAATATTTTTTATTGCGCAGGCAAGGCTAGGAAAATATGAATGACTAACTCTGATTATCGTGCGCATTAAACCTCCGCGGGGAATACCCCGTATTTTGTTTTATAGATCGGGAACCTTCCCGTCTCTGACGGCCCCCTCCCCGCCGAAGGAGCAGGTTAATGATGCCCAATTCCCATCTTCCCCCTTAAATGGCACTTTTCTTCCCATCCGCCCCCGGCTCTCAAAAGGCCCATTTGTGGACTCGGGGATGGCAGGAAATCGCTGCAAAGCCGCGGCTCAGCCGGGCTTTGTCCTGCCAGCTTTTCCCCGAGATGGCGGCATTGTGCGCCCCAGGGATGGGGGGCACGGGCTGAGCCCCCCCCCCAGGGGGGGAGCAGCCCCCCACCAGGATCCTACCAGCCTCTGCCCACCGAAAAAATATATTCCCCGCCCTGCCATCCACACTCAGGCACTGCACCCAGCCAAAACAAGGACCGAACCGCTGCTATTAACACCGAGATGTCAGGGACGCAAATAAAAAGCAGCCGTGCTGGAGGTGACGGCTGCCCTCCACCACGGTTATTTAGCTGGTTAGTTAACTGCTTGACCTTCCAAGTCCTACTTAACACAGCGTAATAGCCAAACCCATCCCGACAGATTAGATGACCCAAGATAATAGAAGAGTGATCAGGAATAAAATAGCTTTCCTAATCGCTGAAGGATTTTTAGCTGCGCAGACTTGACTGTGCTCATTCACAGGGCTTAGTCAATTGAAACCGAATCTTGAAGCTCTGCGGCAATCAAAAAGATTTAAACCAAATCTCATAACCAGCCTGGAGGAGGCGGCTCCACTCGCCCCGGCACAGCCGGCAGCCCAGCAGCTCTTCCATCCAAAGGGTTTTTTTTTTTTCCTTGCTTTTTCTTCTATTAAATAGGACCTGTGCAGAAGACATCCCTGGAGCTCACACCCAGAAGCCTGGTTTTTAAAACAATAGGTAAAACAAAAACACGCAGCCACCAGAAACTGAGAAAAAAAGCAGGTTAATGGGACTTACCGCACTTGAGTCTCGCTCTTTTTAGTGGAAGATGGTGTCAGAGGCACGGTCACAGCCAAAATAAAGAGAAGACAGAAAAATAAAGCAAGTTAGAGTAATTCTTAAAACAGGAAAAAAAGATCTAGAAGCTCCTCATTGCATGGCCTCCTGCTTTAACTCAAAACCTATTTGGGCTCCCTTCAGCTTTGCTTTAAAATTCATGCCCCTTGTCCGTCCAGCTCCCGCTGCCTCCTCCCCCTTTCTTTTAGACAATGTGATTTATTTGGCAAAACACACAGGGGAAAGGGGAAATGCCCTGAAATGCAAAAGGAATGGCGTCAGCCTAAGGCTCTTGCACCCAAAGTCACAAACCCAGGAGAAGGTCCCGACCGCCCGGCTCCGCAGCCACGTCAGCGGGATGTGGTTTAGCCATTAATTTGTACACAAACTGCCCCGTTTTCCCTGGGATCTCCTGGTAATTTGAACCCATGCAGAAAAATGAATGTAATGAGATAATTGCTACCAACAGATTTTCTCACTGCCTTTCACGGGGAGGAAAAACATCCCAAATCCACCAGGCAGAAGAGCCCAACAGCTTCGTGAGGCTGTCGGATAACTGGGTGCTAGATAAGCAAATGAGCATATTACGGGCAAGATCTCAGATCTTCGTGGGTTAATGGGCAGGGGGATTTGTGCGGAAAATCGTCAAGGCTGTTGGTTTGCAACCGAACTCATGCATCATTTTTTCTTCTAAAAAGATTGTCTTATCGCTAATAATAAGAAAAAACAAGGTTGCTAGTGAATATTGCTGGTTTCCAGACCATCGAAAGTCTCCGACAGCGATGGAGAGAAGGAAGGCTGCTTCAGCATTAAGGCGCGGCTGAACGGGGACGCAGGATTTGCAGCAAGCCTCCATCAAAGCCCGCGAGGGCTCCAACCTGCGTGCGAACTCGGGGGGCACGCGAGCACATCAAGCCGACAGGGTTCAATCTGCCGGTGCCGTTCTGGGAGCAATTTGCATTCCCTGCCCTCAATGAGCAGAGAAAGGAGCAGCCTGGAGGTAGGTCCCCTCCTCCCCTACCACCTCAGAAACCCCACCGTCCCTGAGCTGCTCCCAAGGAGCATCTTGACCTCAGCAAAGAAGAAAAGCAGGGAAAGCTTTGGGAGCGCCTGGAAACCGCCGCTGGGAATTGCTGCAGCAGCGGCCGCACCTCCCTTGGCTGCCCAGGCTGAGCCAAGGGGCTGGAGCATCCTTTAGGGAAATCCGCATCCCGAAAAGCAGAAGCCCGTCCCCTGAAGCCCACTCTCCCGAGGGATGGGGCAGCGGGAGCAGAGCCATGCCTGGACCAGGACATTTCTAGCACCGCGGGATGCAGCGACGAGCAGCCCCCAGGGACCCCATCGACCCAGCCCCTCGCTCTCACCTCTGTGGTCCAGGTCGTGATGGTTTTTCTCATCCTTGACGGCGAGGTGTGCCTGGCTCCCCAGGGCGCCGAGAGCCAGCAGCCCCGAGCTGCTGCCGGTGACCGGCGGGGTGGCCGGCGGGGGGGGGGC